ATATGTAGGTATTACTTCTATTTCCTTGATTTTGGTGGGACCTGTATCTGGTTCCCACACGGAGACTTTCATGCTCAGAGTCACATAGTCAAGAGCGCATGCGATCCTTGCCTCGTGTGCTCGTGGATACATCCATCAAATCCGATAAAAGGGTTTACAGTGACAATAACAATAAATAAAACGGTTTTTCTAATTGATGGACTTATACGAGATAAACAAAGCATAGAGAGTTTTGTTAAATTAATAAGAGTTTACAATAATTTATAGAGTTGGATATAATTTTGAAAGCTCAAAGCTGTTTCTCTAATTAACAATGTTTATCGAAGTTTCTTATAAAGCCCCTCAAAATTCAATAGTTCATCTAGAGTTGAGCACTATTCCATGCGAACTGAGCAAATAACCGATTGAATTTTGGCAGTTCGTTTTGACTTTATAAAAATATCGGTTTTGTTCAATTTATGAAAATTTTGAAATTGAAACAACTGAGCCTACTGGTCTCAAAATAATTGTCAAAAAACTTACGCTCTTTAAAGGTGGGAAGTGTTGTAATATACTAAATAAATGAAACGAAAGATGGACAAGAGACAAGAGAATAAGATAAATTGTAATGTTCCTTTCATCCCTTTTTCCATATATCCACCAATTTATAGATACATTGTGGAAAATAAAAAGACATTGGACTAATGAAAAGTCACCAATAAATATTCCACATTAATAAAGTAATGTCCACATTCATTTTGTCTTTTAGGTTTCCACAAAATGACTTTTGGATTTCAACACTCCCCCTTAGACATTACTTCGAGATGTCAATGCCTCATTAAAAACCTCGCTAGAAAAACCCAGTGGGATAAAAACTAGTCGAGGAAAAGAGTACACGACATTAGTAGATTCTTGTTTCATTAGTTGCCTCATTAAAAACCTTTAACTAAGAAAACCCTATGGGACAAAACTTAGTAAAGGAAAAAAGAGTACAACTATAGATCTTCGGGATCCAAACTTGTGTTGCATTAGTTGCCTCATTAAAAACCTTTAGCTAAAAAAAAACTCTGTGGGACAAAACTTAGCAAAAGGAAAAAAGAGTACAACTATAGTCCTTCAAGGCGCAATCTTCGGGATTGCATTGAAAATTCGCTCCCCCTGATGATGACAATCTTCTGAGTCTGCGCATTGAAAATATGACGATAGACCTTCAGGGCCCAATCTTCAGGATTTTTCTTTAAGAATTTGCTCCCCCTGAAGACGATAGTCTTCTAAGTCTGCGCATACCAATATTGTGAACGTATTTCTCAAAAGTTGATGTAGGCAGAGATTTGGTGAACAAATCTGCAAGATTGTCACTTGAGCGAACTTTTTCGATGGTGATTTCACCATTCTTTTGGAGCTCATGTGGATAAAAGAATTTTGGTGCAATATATTTTGTCATGGTTCCTTTTACATATCCACTGCTCATTTGTGCAACACAAGCTGCATTGTCCTCATAAAGGACAGTGGGGGTAATATCATCTTTCGCTAGACCACACGTAATATCGTCTTTCGCTAGGCCACACGAGCCACGAATGTGTCGTATCAACGATCTTAACCATACACATTCTCGTGAGGTCTCATATAAAGCGATAATCTCTGAGTGGTTAGAAAAAGTAGTCACCATGGTCTGCTTGACAGACCTCCAAGAAATGGCAGTACCACCACAGAGAAATACATAACCAGTCTGAGATCTGGCGTTATGGGGATCAGACATGTAGCCAGCATTCGAATAGCCCACCAATGTCATATCTTGGTTTCTTTTATAGAATAGTCCAAGATCTTTTGTTCCTTGAAGATAACGAAGGATATGTTTAACACCATTCCAATACCTCCTTGTAGGAGAAGCACTATACCTTGCTAGCAAGTTCACCGCAAATGCTATATCAGGCCTGGTGCAATTTGCGAGATAGAGAAGTGCTCCAATGGCGCTCAGATAGGGAACTTCTGGCCCTAACATTTCTTCATTATCTTCTTTGGGTCTAAATGGGTCTTTATCCACTTCGAGGGACCGGACAACCATTGATGTGCTAAGTGGATGGGATTTGTCCATATAAAACCTTTCCAAGACCTTTTTCACGTAGGTCGACTGGTGTAGAAAAATTCCTTCTGGGAAATACTCGATCTGCAGGCCGAGACAAAACTTGGTTTTTCCCAAGTCTTTCATTTCAAACTCCGTCTTTAGGCATGAGCTAGCTTCTGTAAGCTCCTTGTGTGTTCCAATAATATTTATATCATCAACATAAACTGAGATGATACAGAAGCCATTTTCGGATTTCTTTATAAACACACAAGGGCATAAGTCGTTATTTACATATCCCCTCTTCAGGAGGAAATCACTCAGTCGATTATACCACATCCTACCCGACTATTTTAAGCCGTATAATGACCTTTGTAATTTAATACTATACATGTTGCGATTTTCATTTTCATTCAATTTAGGGATTTTAAGTCCATCTGGGACTTTCATATAAATATTAGCGTCCAGTGAGCCATATAAATATGCGGTCACGACGTCCATCGACTGCATATCTAAATTCATTATTGCTGCCATTGATATTAAGTAGCGGAACGTAATACCATCCATAACCGGAGAATATGTTTCATCAAAATCAATGCCAGGTCTCTGCGTAAACCCCTGAGCTACTAACATCGCTTTGTATCTCACCACCTCATTATTCTCATTTCTTTTTCGTATGAAGACCCATTTATATCCTACAAGGATAATATCATCAGGTGTACGGACTACAGGTCCGAATACTTTTCTTTTATTTAGCGAGTCGAGCTCTACCTCTATTGCTTCTTTCCATCTCACCCAGTCTGAGCGCTTCCGGTACTCTGCTATCGACTTAGGCTCTGGATCCAAATTATCATTGGAGATGTTAAGAGCAATCGTGAAGGCAAATATGTTGTCGACAACTGTTATATTTCAATTATATGTTTCTTCGGTATTCACAAAATTTGTAGCTACTTCTATGTTTATATCCACCAAATCATCATCATTTCCCATATCATTTAGATTTGGTTGTTCTGCAACCCCAGTGCAATGATTATCAAGTGCACGTGCAATTTTACTGGGGCTTTCGCCTTCAAGACGATCCTCTTCAGGAGGTTTTGGGAGTGATTGGCTTTCTTTATTATATTTAGTTTGTCGCGGATTTTTATCTTTCGCACCGATCGGTCTTCCACGCTTCTGGCGTAGTGGAGCATCTTTTGATATGCTCAGTCCATGTGGAATTTCCACTCTTTGTGGTGCATTTACAGCAGGAATCCTTTGTGATCAGTGAATGCGTCTGGCAGCTTATTTGCCAAATTTTGCAAATTAATTATCTTCTGAACTTCAAGTTCAGCCTGACTAGTTCGTTGATCTAAATATTGAAGATCTTTTTCATACCACGATATTTCCCGACATTCATTTAATTTTTGGTGTTTATCTCCCCCTAATGTCGGGAAATGATCTTCATCGAATATGCAATCAGCGTACCGAGCAGTAAATTGATCCCCTGTCATGGGCTCTAGGTATTTTATAATTGACGGAGTTTCATAACCAATGTATATACCTAGTTTTCGCTGAGGGTCCATAGAGGTACGCTTGGGTGGTGATATTGGAACATAAACTGCACATCCGAAAACACGCAGATCGGAAATGTTTGGTTCTTTACCACGCACTAGTTGTAAGGGGGAATAATCATGATATGCAGTGGGTCGGATTTGGATTAACGCAGCAGCATGTAAAACGACATGTCCCCAACAAGAAATAGGTAGTTTTGAATTTTGTAATAATAGTCTAGCTATTAATTTGATTCTCTTAATTAACGATTCTGCTAAACCATTTTGAGTGTGGACATAAGGAACCGGATGCTCTACTTTAATGCCCAATGCCATACAAAAATCATCAAATGATTTGGATGTGAACTCGGCAGCATTATCCATACGAATAGATTTAATTGGAAAATCAGGAAATTGAGCTCGTAATTCAATGATTTTTGCTATTAATTTAGCAAAAGCATTATTACGGGTGGATAACAAGCTGATATGAGTCCATCGAGTAGAGGCATCGATCAAGACCATAAAGTATCTAAATGGTCCTGATGCAGGATGAATAGGTCCACAGATATCTCCTTGAATCCTTTGAAGGAAAATGGGAGATTCAACATTTACTTTAGTACGAGAAGGGCGTACTATAAGTTTTCCTTTAGCACAAGACTCACAAATATAGTCTAAAGAAGAGGGGACATTGCTGCTTGACATATTATGCCCAATTGAATTTAAGATTATCCGACGCATCATATTTTGCCCAGGATGACCCAATCGCTCATGCCATAATTTAAATGAATTTGGGTCTTTAAATTTTAAACTCATCGCAACATGGTTAGTATTAGGTTGGATATATGTGTAGTACAATCCTGAGGAGAAAGATGGAAGCTTCTCTACAACTTGCTTCTGACCCAATTGACTGAGTCATGAGAAGATGTTCAGCACCATTCTCATTTTCGGTTTCAATATGAAAACCATTAGACCGAATATCTTTAAAACTAAGAAGGGTACGTTTGGATTCTGGATATAATAATGCATCATTGATGATTAATTTCGTACCCATAGGAAGTATTAGTGAAGCTCTGCCGGAGCCTACTATCAACACATTATCGTTAGCAATGGTGGTTACACTTCCTTATTTTTCAGTCAAAGTTTAAAGGAATTTTCTATCTTTTAGGATAGTATGTGTGGTAGCACTATCTACCAAGCACAAAACTGTCTCCTTCTCCATGGGTTGTACGCGAGGAAAGTTGTGCACTATTCTAAAAATTGAAAAATTCATATAAGCACAAAAACAAGGTAAAGACATAATAATTTAAATAAACCCATTTGAAAATAAAATTTTCTTACGAAAAACATGTAAAATAAGCCTAGTGAGAATACAAACAACTAGAACAAGTCTTGAAAAACTAAAATAGACTAATAAAACATGCATAACATGATCACTCCTGGTCACCAAAATCATCAAGCTCCATCTTCAATAAGTCATCATCGTCCATATTCATATCTCCCATCTTCAACAGATTATCATCATAATTGTCATCTTTCAGGGTCATGTTTGCTTCAGGCAAACTGGCATGATGTGTTTCACCATGTTTTGACTTCCCCTTTGAGTCTTTCAGCATTCTCTGATATGCCTCAACCAAATGTTTCGGTGTACGACATGTGCGAGACCAATGGTCCTCACATCCACACCAATAACAAGCTTGTTTGTTATTTGTAACCTGTTGATGAGAGCTAGGCTTGTGTGAATGAGGTTTATCCTTGTTCTGACCCTTGTTACGGTCTTGAAGACTATTAGCATTGCGACGACCACGACCCCTACCACCACGATAAGACCTGCAACCATGTCCACGACCTCTACCACGTCCACGCCTATGAGTATTACTCTGATTTGTGGCATGTGCTTCAGGCACAGCTAGCGAACCAACTGGTCTAGCATTATGGTTGCGCATCAGAAGTTGGTTATGTTTCTCTGCAACTAGTAACGCAGAGATCAATTCAGAGTGTTTTGAATAGTTTTTGGTCCTGTACTGTTGCTGGAGTACAAGATTACTTGAATGGAATGTAGAGAGGGTCTTTTCAATCAATTCAGCCTCTGTAATGTTCTGCTTACAGAGCTTCAGCTGTGAGACAATGCGGTGGAGGGTTGAATTGTATTCAGTTACGTATTTAAAATCCTGAAATTGCAAGTTTAACCAATCATACTGTGCTTGCGGAAGCATAATAGCCGTCTGTTGGTCAAAGCGATCCTTCAGGGATTGCCATAGAACAGCAGGATCTTTTTCAGTAAGGTACTCATTTTTCAGGTCTTTGTTGAGATGATGACGAAGAAAAATCAATGTCTTTGCCTTTTGGGCAGAGGTGCTCTGAGAAGCTGGAGCAATAGTGTTGCTTAAATCACAAGAATTCAGGTAGATTTCAACATCTAAAGCTCAAGTCAAGTAATTGCTGCCATCAACGGCAAGCTCAGCAAATTCCCTTTTGATGATGTCAGACATTGTTCAGAAATGCTATAATTATCAAAAAAAAAAAATATCAATCCACCAAATTTATAAAATATTGCACTATACAAATTGTGCATACAAACAGAAGTGAATAAACAAATCATTAGTTACAATGCATGCCGCTTCATTTTTGCTAAAGCCGAATATTCATTCACTTTACAGAATTTACTATAGAGTTCAAAAAGCTTGCTGTGATTGTGCATAAGATTGTGTAACGTACTCGTTTAAATAAAGCTACATCATACTCAGAAAGAAGTAAACAATAACAGATTTAAGTCAAGGTACGATGTCATATTTTAAGTCTAAGGTTCCTCAAGACATGATTTTTCTTAGTAAAATAAACATAATCAACATGCTATACCATTTTATTCGGTAAGACATTGGATATTAAATGATAAAGATGAAATGCTTACACTTCTACCCACAAAAATGATTGCTGATGAACGTTCAGCTTAAGGTTCCTTCTTGAATCTACTTATGTCATATAAGTGAAAAGCAATAATATAAAATAGAAATTTTTGTTTGTTTTATGGTTTCTTACAGCAAATGTCATTACCTCCTAGAGTCTTGGGCTCAGAATATTTTGAAGTCTTGCTCTCTAGTTGTGCGAACTTAAACTAGCTGAAACAGTGTCACCATCAAAGTAGGTTTTCTTTCTGTTTGCCAAAAAGCCTCCTCAGTTTCTGTCAATAGTTTCCATGCCTGAGAACTTGGCAGAAACTTAAGAGGACAGGTCGATATCAGGTTGACACCTTACAAGTCTATCAATATCTCCTAAGCCTTGTGCTTCATAACTAATCCCGTTTTAATGAAACAACAGCAATGGGAGAGAGGGGGACAAGATGGTCAAATAGTCAGCTAATATTTTGTGAGAACTTTCCAATCCATGGAGCAAAAGAAAAACAGCAAATGTGCTCATGAAATGCAGATAAGTAAGGAAACGCATCGCACCACAAAATAAACAAAATATCATGCCAATCATCATTACATTCTTATGCTTGAATAGTGAATAGTAACATACTGTTATAGAGGCATAATCGATAACGAAAACATGAAACTTTGTAAATAGACAAAGGTCAAATGTATTATTACCTTGCAAAAGATATATATTGAAAAATCTATTACCACGAACCGATGATCACGAACCAGCTAGAGCCACTCGTGCTGATAACGTGTTGTAATATACTAAAGAAATGAAACGAAAGATGGACAAGAGACAAGAGAATAAGATAAATTGTAATGTTCCTTTCATCCCTTTTTCCATACATCCACCAATTTATAGATACATTGTGGAAAATAAAAAGACATTGGACTAATGAAAAGTCACCAATAAATATTCCACATTAATAAAGTAATGTCCACATTCATTTTGTCTTTTAGGTTTCCACAAAATGACTTTTGGATTTCAACAGGAAGATAATTTATACTAATAAATTTTATATGTTAGAGGATTATGGTTTAATTTCAGTTTGTAAAGTAGTTGATTTGTCGAGTTTGCTCTTTAACTTGGTATATGAGATGACCGTCAGACTTGAATGGCGTAAGGGAATTGCCTTTTAGCTAAAAGTTCTCTAACTTGACATGTCCATGCCCAAAGAGAATAAACTGAACCGACCCCTATTTGCACGAACCGCACCCAAGTGACTTAATTCAGTTGATGTTTGATTTTGAATCTAATTCAGCTCGGTTTGATTTGATAAAAAAATATTTTTTAAAAAAAGATATTTATTGCTAAATAATTAGCAAAATCGACTGTTTTGCTAATTATTTAGAAAAATCAACCCATTTTTGACCAACAGGGCAAAAAGTGGATGATTTTAAAAAATAGTCTGCTCGAAACATACAGGACTAGTAGTCCCATATATTTTGTATGTGCTTTACAAATCGCACGGGACTACTAGTATTGTACGTTAAGCATAGACATGTTGGTTCTGCCTAGCAAATATATATTGTTCACGAGATTTTCAGTATTCTTTCATATTTTTGAAACCCTAGCAGCCACCAAACAAATTTACAAACCCTAATTTGATATTTGAGGAAGATTAAAGGCTTTTGAAGCTGGATTTCGGGTTATTTTTGGATTTTGGCTTGGAGATCTACCTTGACATTGCATCTTGCACGTTTTTTAACAAGTCATAGGCAAGTTTAATCTCTGCTAACCCTACTCTCAAGTTTCTAAATATTTTTAATGAGTTTTAATGTGATTTTATTGAGCCTAATCGACTAATTTGAGTATAAAAGCAATCCTTTTGTATTATATGAATACAAATCAGGTCTTTCCGTGTTTAAAAGATTAAGAATGAATTTCCAGAGCTATTTTAAGTAAAGTATTTAATAACGCCATTTAACTAAGCTTTGATGATTTATTCTTCGTATCGATGTTTCGTGCATGTTTAAGGATTTAAATATGATTTATTATGCGATTAATCATGTTTTACATGTTTGATAATTTCGTAAGATGTTAATATGATATTTACAATGTTCTTCACAAGTTTTATGATGAATTAATAAAGTTAGATCATGAAAAACACATATGAACACAGGTATCACAAAGTCTGTAGAGCAGGCTGCTGTTTGTGGTCCGGTCGACCGCCGCTTATGTGTGATCGACCGCGTGCCAGGCTAAAGCCAGGGCAGCTTCTAGACCGCGGCACGATCGATCACCGCTTTATCGTGGTCGACCGCCAGTCAGGCAGAAGCTTGTGCATGTTTTTGACTCCTGTTTTCATTTTCGAGGGATTTTCTCGATATTTTCAAGTTATACTATGATACTTATGAGATGTTTGACATCTGTGGTATTGGTGAATACTAGATATTGACACACATACCAAGATTTGTGCACGTACACTTAGTATGTATTGTTTTGACATGTATTGTCGAGATATTTGACACACGTTTGTTTTCATCGAAAGTTGGTTTCGTTATGGAATCCATTAAAACTTCAATTGCTGACAATGAATTTAAAAGAAATAGCCTTTTTATAAGACTTCTCTTACACAATGAACAAAAGAATTACAACTTCCTAGAAAATAACACAGAAATTGTTTATTAACTCCTGCTTTTATGGGATCTTTGCCTGTGCCGGGGGTGCGTTAGCCCGTGGACCACCGATTCACGGATTCTGATTGAATCATGAAGGCTTTTAGGTATTCTTTTTTGTTTATTGAAGTAAGAATCTTAAATGAATATCTTACCGGTGTAAGATGTTCACTCTTTCAAAGATCAAGTCAGAGCTTAGATCTCTAGGAATCGCCAAAAGCTTATTAAAGTGTTTGTGAAGAATGAAGATTCTCTCCTTCTTGCCCAAAATCACCAAATGTTCAAGTCTTTCTGCTCTTCCCTACATTTAGTGTGTGACTTTTGTGGGTAGTGAGCATAATTTTCACTTGTAACTATTTTCCCCACGTTTATAAGTGATCCTCAGCAGTTAATAAGCCATGTGGGCTGCATAAAACTTAAAAAAATTGTCAAAATGACATTTTCAGCTTCTCAGTGTGCGCGATAGTCGTAACTGTCATGCACCTCCGAGACAGTTTGTGTTGTCTTGGATATTTTAGCTCTAACTTCCTCGTTCGATCTCGGAATCAGGTGATCCAAGAGAGTTAGAAAGCTGACGAAAAGCTCTACAACTTTTGTATTTTGAGATTCTTCGAATTTAGATCGTATCATGGCTTAAATATGTAAGACATCGCCATGACAGTTACAACTGTCATGCACATCCGAGACAGTTTGCGCTATCTCGGGTATTTTAGCTCTAACTCTCTCGTTAGATATTGGAATAAGGTGATCCATGATGTGTTGGAAATCTGACGAAGAGATCTACAATTTTTTAAGCTTCTTTAGATTTGGATCGTATCATGGCTTAAATGTGCAAAATATCATCGCGACAGTTACGACTATCACGCACCTCCGAGACAGTTTGCGCTATCTTGAGTATTTTGGCTCTAACTCCCTCATCTGATATCGGAATAAGGTGATCCAAGATGCATTAGAAATCTAGTGAAAAGCTCTACAATTTCCTATATGCAAGACACTCTACTTGCTTATGCAACACTATTCACTATAACGCTTATACGCGTCAGTGTTCGTTATTGTATTAATGCACGTCAGTGTACCTTATCGCGGGTATTCATATTGTTTTTCTCTATTGTTTCACCTGTTCCTTTGCTTCTTTTAGATTTAGATGATTCTCTCTAGCTTAGATAATGACATTCATTTTTTTCTTTATCTTGGACTGTATTTGGATATATATAAGTATTTTTAGACGCCTACAACGTTAAGTTGATAAAAGTGAAATAACATATGATAAAGCGTTTCTCATCAGTTATGGATGTCAGTGTGGTTGTTTATCCCATAATAAAACCTCTGTTATACCATACTAGGAGTATTTGGTTGTTTTTTTTTCATAATGAGATCTCGGTTGTACCAAACTCGAAGGTGATCGATGTATATTTTTGGGTTGGGCTGATGTGCCTATTGACCATTGTACGATCATCTAGAAGCATATCCAGAATAAGGAGATAAAACTTATTGTCGTAGAATGATCGAGTAAGGAAGTTGAACTCACATGCTATTGTGCGAACCTTATAAGAGTATCATTATTTCATGTAGCCGGAATAGGGAGATAAAACCTATTGTCGCAGAGCGATTGAGTAAGAACTTTACAAGAGTATCGCTATTGCAAAAAGAGATGCATACTGTTTGGGTCAAAAGTTGCCTTTTCCATTGTTTTCAAACCTGTTACACCGTTTATCGATTACAAGTTCAAACTGAAAAGAGAGTTGATCTTTTTATAAGATCTTCTTACAACGAAAAATAAAGATTACAACTTTATCAAACAAAACGCAGCAGTAGTTTATCTCCCGCTGCTTTGCGTGGGATCTTTGCCTGTGCCGGGGACGCGTTAGTCCGTGGACCACCGCAGACCAAAGCCGATCGACAATATAATTACGCTCTTGTTTCACGAAGGAAACAATTACGGAAGCGACAATCACGACCAAGCGAGATTGTGGCTCTTCTCGAGATTAAAACCAAGTTTAATCCTGAGGAAAGAAGGGAAGAGAATCACAAACCTTTCGAAGGGGCTTTCTTTATGAAAGTGTTCGCCAAGCTCTGATGATTCTCCTCTGAACTTCGTGGTTGACTGGTCAATTTGACAGCACATCGCCTTCTTAATCTCAGATCTCCGATCCCCTTGAAAGAAGACCTTAGGCTTCTATTTATAGGCTTTTTGAGATGTGTCTCCTAGTAGGAATTGATGTTTAAACGTTATCTGCGGTTTATAACTGTCTAAACGTGTTTATGGATAACCTCAGAGCAGTTAGAGAGGTTTTGGGACGAAAGAATCATTAAAAATCATCGAAATCCGTGTTTGGGGAGGTTTTGTATCCAACAAGAGTCCTGGTGACTCGGGACTGTGCGAGTCAGCTTCTGGTGACTCGGAACTATGCGAGTCGGCTCCTGGTGACTCGGAACTATGCGAGTCAGCTTCTGGTGACTCGGAACTGTGCGAGTCAGCTTCTGGTGACTAGTCAGCTTCTGGTGACTCGGAACTGTGCGAGTCAGCTTCTGGTGACTCGGAACTGTGCGAGTCAGCTCCTGGTGACTCGGAACTATGCGAGTCAGCTTCTGGTGACTCGGAATTGTGCGAGTCAGCTCCTGGTGACTCGGAACTATGCGAGTCAGCTTCTGGTGACTCGGAACTGTGCGAGTCAGCATTTGGTGACTCGGAACTGTGTGAGTCAGCATTTGGTGACTCGGCACTGTGCGAGTCAGCATTTGGTGACTCAGCACTGTTCAAGCTTCTAAGCAATGTTTCGTGATTCTTCCAGCTTCTTTGTTTTGCGTACGCTTCGTCGCCTTGCTGATTTTGGATGAATTCCTTTGACTTGGATAATAACGTTTATCGTCTTTTCCTTGTCTTGCACTGTGTTTGAGGACCTATGGGCAATTTTTAACGCCTACACATACATATATACAGATGTAGTATGATCCCACGAGTAGGGTATACATTGGATATATGACATACATGATATGATATTTTGCAATGTTTGAGCAGGATAACATTTCCTTATGATGGTGCTAGCTGCCTGAGGGTGGTCTGAGATGTGACGAATTGTTTCATTATGATTGAGGGTAGAAGCTGTTATATTTTTATTTGTGATGATTGTTCATATATAGATTTGAAGTTAGTAGTTAGAGATTCATAGCTCGAGATATATAGTATATACATGAGGGTTTCCTTGTTTGGATTATTTCGCTCAACGTACAAGTCTCGAGTTGTGAATTTCTAGTTGCTAATTTCACTTGCATTTTTAGTTGAAATTGATATTTAGCGATTCATAATTTGGGATACAAGGTATATACATGAGGGTTTTCTTATTTGTATTATTTTGCTAGACATACCCATTCTCGTATTATGAATCTCTAAATACCAATTTCCGTTTATCACTGTATTAATGAATTTATATTTATATATACTAACCAGTATTTTCTTATACTACTACCACTTCTCCTTAGAGGCAGAGATGATCTCACTAGTGCTTTGACACTCGTTATTTCCCCTCATTTTAGATGTTGAGTCAAGCGTACGGAGTGTTGCAAGTTGATAGAGACGCATTTTAGCATCCGTCTTAGTTATTTTATTAGTAGTTATTTACAGAGCTCCACAGTAATAGTTAATTTTTAGACTCTAGAAATTGTATTTTTATTTTGTAAAGGTTGTGTACCTTAGAGAGATTTCTTTTGACTCTTGATTATGAGACTTGGTACATTTATTACGTTCAGAGATACTCTTATACTATTTCAGTTGGGCTCATGTGTTGATCACTCTCATACTTCTTTTGTGCATATTCTATTCTTGTACTATTTCCATTATTTGCTTATTTTGTACCTTCACCTACTTGTTGACTCTGCTAGAGAGATAGTAACTGTGATGGTAAAACGTGTCGTTATGGTGTGGTGCTTGGCAGGTTTAACAATCCGAGTTTCACCTTGGACTGCATCTTTGTGTGAATCCTAGGGCGTCACATGTCATATGCATATCAATATGACAAAGTACTCTAAATAAATCCAAATGTATCAAGTCTACCCATACGATAATATATAGTCTAAGTTAAACAAACCCAAATGTATAAAGTCTATCCATACGATAATATATAGTCTAAGTGGAAAAGCTAACAACCTAAAAGTCCACCCCTCCCCTGTTGTCTCCTTCTTCATACCCACTCAGATTGTCGGCAGCCTCCTTCGACTTGAGCTTGTATATGCTCGCTCTCGGGTTGTGTGCGGGGATATGATGGACCAGCTTCTTGTGACGGACCAGCTTCATCGTTGTGCATGCAAGATCTACCACGTCTTCGTCGGCATTCATATACCATATCCTCTTGTGCCATTTGCTCACGACCTTCATGCCGATCCTCATGAGTTTGATGAAAAGCTCTACAAACCCTCACCACTATCCGATGCAATATCGATGTACTAAATCTCCTGTGGTGATAGCTATGGCCTCATTTGCAATCCCCTCTTTGTCGTCCATAGTGCCTATCTACAATTATATAAAAAGATATAATGATATATATAAGAAACCAAAAGCTAACAATTTATTGAAAACACTATTATAATTTTCGCAATTTACTTACCCATTCTCTCTCATCTATCCCTCTTGGTACATATCTTGCTTGTTAGGAGCGAACCTCGATTTTGTTGACTGGAGGCATGATTTGAGTGATTACCCAACGTCTGGTAAGCCCCCAATACCATCTAATGTAATCGACTTCCTCCATTGGAGGATAAAGCTGATAAATAATAAGTTGATATCGATCATTCCATCTAGCAATATATAATTGATGCATAAGCTGCCAGTCAATCTGATGGCCACCTTTAAACGCATTTCTCTCTATTTTTTTGACATATTATGGAACGTGATGTGCGAAACCAAGCTGTCTAAACACACGATCTGGCACATGTATTTCCACAAATTCGAAACAAATGAGAGGAACTCTGGCCCTCCATATGTCGTGTCCCTCCATACAAATCAGCGGTAGACGAGGTAGGTAAGATGGGTATGGCTGCCACTTGAACTACAAAATATTCCATATATTAATAACTCTTTGAAATATATCGGTAGCTTTAAATGGCTTCAATTCAAATTCGATACCTGATAAATTTTTATCCGGTCGAGCTCTCCTCTGTAAAAATCTAACTGCCTTGTTGGGGTTTCATCGTTGGCTTTAGTGTCATTCCATCTGCAAGTATGATATAAGGTAGGTTTTTGTTCAAAAGTTAAAATTTAAAACTAAATATTAATTAATTAAATTTGATGCTTTGTACCTACAGCCTAGTGGAATCTATCCATCTAAATCTTGGATCTCGCATAATCGTGGTCTCAAAACCAACCTCTCACATGCCTAAACTTGTAACAATGTTAAACATCATTTGAGCTCTTTATTTTGCATTAAAACAACCTTTGACATTTCTCGATATAGGTACGCTAAAACAACACTACTCCATGATAATATCCCACACATGTCAAAGTCCTGGAGAAGTGGTAACCACCTATCACAAATTCAAATGTGTTAGTCATATTTTATAAAAATAATGAGCAAAAATCTCTCCTTAACAAATTCAAATGCATTATAACAATAAGAAGTTTTCTTACCTCAAATATACTTTATGTTTACTTGAATCGGGAAAAAGAAGCATCCCGATCATGTGCAAAATATATGCACGAGTATGCTATTGGATTATGACTTCGGGTGCATCTTCTAGCAAGGGGTTTGCGAAATTCTCCTTTAGCCACTTCAATATAATATATCCCACAGGTAAGGACTCTGGAGATAGTCCTAACAAATCATCATATTCTTGGCGCCACACATGCCTATCAGTCCCCGTAACATAAGGGCCATCAATACAAATACCAAGGATCACTTCTATGTCCTGGAGAGTAATAGTTGCCTTTTCGACACGTAGATGGAAAGTGTTAGTCTCCGGCCTCCATCTATCCATCAACGCATTAAGTAGTGCCCAATCGAGCTTCATCCATTGTAATTTTGAGCAAGTGAGAAAACCTGCTTGGGCTACTAGAGCAATGATACAAGGATCTTCATGTGGCCAACACATATGTCCAAGGCTATGATTAATCATAACTAGTTCTTATCCTCTCTACACGATAATGAAAAAATATATTAGAATATAACAGTGAATAATTAATACGTGACTATTAACTTAAGACTAAAAATTTATCAATTATTACCGATGTAAACGATATGCTCTCTGGTGGCGTGACTGATCATAGAGGACATCATCAGTAACCAACCCGAGAAGCATAATGTATATACCCGCACATATAATTATTAACTTATTAGTTTCTACCAAATCAATAAGGCTATAATAATAAAAAATAGAGATATAAATCGAAAACATTTTACCAATTAATTGTTATCTACTTGTTCTTGATGGACAACGAGACCTATTATGACCTAATTGATTACATTGTCCACATCTAATTCGCGACGCTACTCCTTCCCAGCCTTGATCCATAGTACCGATCATAAGGCAGTCTAGCGCCACCATGTTGATTGGAACTAGCTACTAAAACATGTTCACATGGTAGCTTTTGTAATTGTGGTATATTACAAGTACAACTGCACTCTTGGTCATAGATATGGACGATGTAAGTACCTTGTGTCACACCCCGCTTTCCAAAATACTCGGGAATCGGAACGTGAACAAGCCCACGACGTATTAGATTAAGGAGAATAAATAAAAATAAGGGAAAATCTTCTTTTAACCCAAAGTTTTACTCCAACTTATTTTTAAACCCATCTACTTTCATTATGATCCATACACCCAAAGTACAACACCCACTTATTTATAAACTCAAAGTATCAAATACACCATATTTATATACTGTATACAAAAAATAAAAGATAAATCCCGAAATTACCCTTGTTCTTCTTCTTCTTCCTCCCTAATAACTACCCGGGCTCAACTCTCTCTTTCTAATCATCTCCATCTTTCTAGTTCTCCTCTCACTCAAAAAAACCCTAAAAATTCAAGGGTTTTGATCTCTTACAATGGCGTCTAATGTCAACTTGCAGGTTTCTCTTTGCTAGATCCTTCGTTGAAGGGGGCGATAGCAGCGGCCCTAGGACCACCCAGTCCACTCAAAGCCGACCAATAGAAAACGATATGTTAACATTTTTAAATTTTGGGTTTTTTTAGCAATATCTTATTAAAAATGTCTTGTTCTTATAAATTGATGGATTCTTATCAAGCTTATGCTTTAGGAAAGAGTATGTGCATAACAATTTTGCTCATATATATATATATATTATATATATATATGTCTATGTTTCGGTGACTAGGTTGATGCATAGAAGGTGTTTGATGGAATGACAAAAGTGATATAGTTATTTGGACCACAACGATCAGCGGTTATGCCATATTATTGTTGGTTGAGGAGGCAATAAAGGTGGTTGATGAAATATCCAAGAGAAGTTTAGTTTTGTGGACCGCCATGATCTTAGCCCATCAGTATGCCATCCTACATCCTTTTGTTGCTCCTCACCATTTTCTATTGTCGTCAACACCTAACGCAATGCATAGCTACCCCTCAATCAGAAACGATTTGTCAATGCACGCACACTAACTTTCTAATCAAATACATGAGAGAATCCTCCACTCTTGGCATTCGATCAGATCTTAGCATTGTTGTCATATTGCAACCCAAACGTCAAATCAACTACAGCTTGCAATATGAAGTACCAAGTAGTATCTAATGTATCGTGTTGTATGGAATTTTCTATATTATGTATATATAGATGATTTGTGTGTATATTGTATCAAATGCACTATCCAATGTATCATGCTGTATCAAATTTTCTATTAGAAATTTATCAGTGTATCTAGTAGAAGTATCAAATTTTCTATTAGAAATTTATCAGTGTATCTAGTAGAAATGTATCTAGTAGAAATATATACAACGTTGTTGGAACCTAGAGGGGGTGATTAGGGTCTTATGCTAATCTAATCCGATTAAATGCCAATTAAAAACTAATTAACAAGTTATCCTAGCAAGTATGAACAACAATAATATATATGAGCTAGGATAAGCAATGTACAATATGATATATCCTAGCAAAGAGATATATAGCAAAATATATATGCAAGGATATATAAACTAACACAAGGGTAAACAATATAAACTAGATAGTGGATCATAAAAAGGATGAGTAATGCACAATTGGCGATATAAGATAAATGCAAAAACAACTACGCCAAAGACAAACTCAAACAAGCAATATGATCACGGAGTTCGGACCTTCCGTCCTACGTCTCCGCTCCCCACTCCCGGGGAGAAATCCACTAACACAATCCGGTTTGGAAGCCGGAACTTCTTCTACACACTCGGTTTTCTAGCTAACCGAAAACTCTACAACTCACACTCTTGCAATCACACTCTACACCCACTAAGTGTTGGACCTAGCCGTGTCTCCCTCAAGTGCTCGGTTACAACCTCTCCCTAGGCACGTCAACCGACGCCACTCCTCTTGGGACGATCCCCGACTCTCACCACACACTCCTCACTCGGTGTACAAGAGTATTACAAAGTGATTTAACAATTAAGCACAATATAGCAAATGATTGTTCTCTCTAACAAGGTGAGAACTCAATTAGGCTCTCAATGTCACAAACTCACAACCCTAAATTATACTATGAATGTAAATACAATAAGCTCAATAGGTTGTGTGTGAACAAAGAGTATTAATAAAACAATTAAACTAAACTCAATATGAAATCTAGCTTATGAAATTTTAATCAAAATAATAAATTGCTAGATGAGTTTAGAAACACTTCTCTAAAGATGACAAGAGAGTAGGAGAAGAGTGAATGCTCAAACACCAAAGGATGATCTCCACTTGCTCTTGTGAAATTGAATTCACAAACTCAAACCCTCAATTGCTTAAAAGCTTCTTAAACCAAACTTAAACAAACACTAAACAAGTTTAAACCCTTGTTAAACTATTTTAAAACATTCTCTTAGATATATTAAAACTGAGGTATAAGGGGGTATTTATAGCCTCCCAATACCTCAAACAAAAGCCCAAACCAAAAGACCAAAAACCCCTCCAACGGATACAAAAAAATAGCCATTATGGGCATTCTGGGAGCTGGGCGGTCGACCGACCTTTTTTTCGGTCGACCGCTCGCACTGTACAAACCTGAAAAAGTTCCAGAGACATTTCCGGTCAACCGGTCCGGTCGACCGGAGTTACTGTAGCAGTGCGCAGATGTTTTGTAAAATCAATTTAAAATAGTAAATGAACTCCAAAAATTATGAAATTTTGTGGGAATGTTCTAGACATGTAGAATAACATATCAGAAAAAGAATTTCTGAAAAATCTTTTCCCAGTTGAGAGAAATAAATATTTGAACACAAATTTACAGTTTCTGAAAAACTGTTAACATATACGATTTTGTAAAATCAATTAGGCACAGTAAATAAACTCCAAAAATAGTAAAATTTTGAGGAAAGTTTCTAAACATGTAGATAAGTATATATATATAAAACTATATATATATAGAAACCAAAACTTGTGTATATATATATAACTATATATATATACAAAGAAACCAATAAAATGTGTGTGTATATATATTGAGCTTAACGTATTAAACACACATAATATAAACCCTAAACTAAATTACCCAAGCTAGATCTTGATCTTCAATAAGCTTGACTTGGTACACTTTGCGGATGAAGCTTGAACTTGATCTTGAACTTGAATTGTACGATGCTTCACTCCACAATTCCGCCAACCTCCTTTAGATATGATCGTGAATGCTCGATTCCATCCATCCTCCAACAACGTTGTTTGTCTACAAAACATAGGAATGCACAAACACTAGACAAACAACATTAGTAATAAATTGTTTGTTAAAAATCATCAAAACAAGAAGGCCAACAAACGTTTCGATAGTGGTGATTTTGGATTATTTCCATTCAATCTTCATGGATTATTTTCATTCAATGTTATGTGCTTGAGTTTAGTGATTGATAGATATGAATATCTGTAATGAATTGATGCACTGATTGAACTAAAGAAGTTTTGATCGTAGGTTGTGGTAACTACAGTCTATTGGGCCATATTATGTTTCGTGTGTCCAATTATCCACCTCGACGAGGGGTCCTCGCTCAATTTTCCAGCTTTTGATAAAGTATAGCAATTTATGAGAAAATATAGCAGCTTATTAATGAAGTATAATACCTTATGGTAAAGTATAGCACCTTATGATAATAGTATAACATCTTATCGATAAAGTATAGCACCTTATGGTCTTTGGAAATTCATCAACTTACGATAAATCAAATAAGTTTTGTTAGGGCCATGCAAACACTCGATGACCTATGTTATGTGTCGTGTGACCAATTATCCACCTCGACGAGGGGTCCTCGCTTAATTTTGAAGCTTTTGGCAAAGTATAGTACTTTATAGGAAAGTATAGCACCTTATGGCCAAAGTATAGCACTTTATGGCAAAGTATAGCACTTTATTGGTAAAGTATAGCACCTTATTAGCAAAATATAACACTTTATGCTCTCTGAAAATTCTGCACCTTAAGTTGTCTAAAACCAAATCAGTTTTTTTCACCGCAACGCAAATTAAGTTGTCTAAAACCAAATCAGTTTTTTTCACCGCAACGCAAACACTCGATGACCTACGTTACGTGTTTATTGTTTTTCACCGCAACGCAAACACTCGATGACCTACGTTACGTGTTTATTGACCAATCATCCACCACGACGAGGGGTCCTCGACTAATTTTGAAGCTTTTGGTAAAGTATAGTACTTTATTGGAAAGTATAGCACCTTATGTCCAAAGTATAGCACTATATGACAAAATATAGCACTTTATTGGCAAAGTATAGCACCTTATTAGCAAAATATAACACCTTATGCTCTTGGAAATTCTACACCTTAAGTTGTCTAAAACCAAATCAG